TGATAAACGAAATAGCAGCCGTAATTAGTGGTGATCAATTTTCTTCACGAGACATTGTCTTGCGAGCTCGCGATGATACGTTGCAACGGGTAGCCGATACACACAAGTTTTATGACGCTCTGCAATACCCATTGATTTATTGCAAAGGACAAGAGGGTTATCATTTTCAAATTCCACTCATTAACCCGGTCACAAAGGAGCCTACTCCGAACAAAAAGTATCATGTATGGATTTTTATTCGTATCATATGATGTTGCGAGAAAATGATTTTAACCTCTTAGCCCGGTGTAGACAATTATTTCATCAATTTTTGGTAGACATGTATGTGAAGGTAGAAAGTGAACGTCTCCGTTATATATCTTTAAATCAAAAAAGCTGCACGTTGAGAATTATATCCATTTACAAGATGCAGTTTCTAGCGACGCCAATGTAAACCCCAGAGATTTAGGTAAAATGGTAATTCGGCCCTCATCATTCGTTAACAGTCCCCGCTACCTACATGAGTACACACAAGACGCATTTGCCTCTGTACGAACTTATGCAAAACCTGATCTTTTTGTTACTTTTACTTGCAATCCCACATGGAAATAAATAACCGAGGAGCTAATGCCGGGCCAAAAAAGTACTGACAGACACGACTTAGTTGCTAGAGTATTTAGATTAAAAGTACAAAAATTAATGTATGTAATTAACAAAGGGAAAATTTTCGGAGAGGTGCAGTGCTTCATGTATTCAATTGAATGGCAAAAAAGAGGATTACCGCATGCCCACATTCTAATATGGCTTAAAGAGAAGTTGCGGCCCAGCCAAATAGACGACATAATAAGCGCCGAGATTCCGGATCCTGAGCAAGATAAAGAATTGTATGATACCATCGTCCGAAATATGATTCACGGTCCATGTGGAGCACGAAATTCAATATCGCCATGCATAAAAGAAGAAAAATGTAAAAAGAAATTCCCTAAACAGCTATTAAAAGAAAGAGTGCACAATGCAATGGCTACCATTTATATAGACGCAGAGCTCCCGAAGATGGTGGCAGGAAAGCTACAATGAAATCTAGCTCTAGAGCGTTCGAAACCTTAGATAACAGCTGGATTGTTCCGTATTCGCCCATTCTATGTAAAATGTTTAATGCCCACATTAATGAAGAAGCATGTAGCTCTCTCCGCGCAATCAAGTATATCTGTAAGTACATAAATAAAGGAAGCGACCAAGCAATATTTAATCTCAGGAGTGAAGGTGAGGCAAATCCCGTTAATGAAGTACAGACATTTCAAGCAGGGCGTTATGTCAGCAGTAACGAGGCAGCGTGGCGTCTCCTTGGCTTCCCTTTATACGAAAGGCACCCAACAGTTACTCACCTTGGTGTGCACTTAGAAAATGGAGAGCGTATATATTTCACCGAAAGAAATTTCCAAGAAAGAATTGCATCACCGCCAAAAACTACACTAACAGTGTTAACTTAACTTCTTTCAACTTTGTCAAACCGATCCCAACTTTGCAAAAACGTTGTTATATTCTGAAGACCCCCGCTATTATACTTGGAACACATCTAGAAAGGAGTGCATACCAACCGAACTTACTATAAAGCAGTTCTTATGTTATTTACTTTTTTTAATACCATTATTTTCACTGTAAAAAGAAATTACCTAAACTATCGGCGTCTTGAAGCTTGATTCCTGTCGCCCCGTTAGAATCACTTCGGCTTTTGAAGGGAGAAGTTGTGTCGCTTACGATCAGAATACTCATTACGCAACAGGACGATGTAAAATTAAAATGGGAAATAACCGTGACAAAAATAAGAAGCGTCTGGGTTGGCGTTAAGAAACAGGCATAAATATGATAAGTCTACTGAAATAAGTATCTAACGTATTACTACAGTATTAGTGATTACAAACATGTCGGTACATAGCATACGACGCGCGGGGAAGTGGGGGCGAAATTATAAGTTGAGCTGACTGAGGTACTATATCCCCTTAAAAATAAACCTTTGTTTTTAATATTTATTTTTTATTTTTAAAATTAATTTCTCCTGACAACAACCCCAAAATCCCGACATTTTTAAAATTTAATTGCCTATTTCTTATAATTTATATAGGGAGAAATCTATGTATATGAAACACAAAATTTGCTAGGGCAGGTTTTTTATGTAAAATTAAAGTAATAAACGTAAGTTCACCACCAGACCTACTCATGGTAAGTGGCTAGGTACTGGCAACATATTAAAAATTTACATCACTTTATTTCTATGGGTTTGCTACTTTGAGACTATCCCATCGACCTCTCAACGCTATTTTAATTTATTTATGGTTAACGATTAATATCAACAGAATGTAAGCGGCTATGGGCCGTGGTCCAAGGGCCACCCCAGCAGCACCTCAACCTACTGTTACTGATATTGCAATATTGGAGTAAAATATTTTTATTTGATTTATGAGCGTTGAGAGGTCGACGGGATAGTACCAAAGTACCATGGGTTTATTTATTTATACATTTCTACTTTACTACAAAAACCTAGAACTAGGAGTTAGTTACGTAGAGCAGACTATGGCCCGATGGCATTCTCTAACAATCAACCCTGATAAATTTCTAAAACCTAATATTAATTCTCTATTTCCCAGTGATTTACTATTTACGTTTGTTTCGAGGTTAAAAATATTACGTACACATACAATTAGATTTAGATATGACGAGGGCGGCCATTTGTCTTGGATTCTGTGGGATAGTCTCGCAATATTATGGCAGTTTCACTTATCGTAATAAATAATAAAATAGACCCGCGAAATCCCACACGAGCGTCATTTCTTACAAAATCACCTAGAAGCTTAAAAACACACAAGCTGTTTGCGTACCGTATTTTCTCGAACGTATGAATGAAATGGTAATATTTATTTCATAATTTTTTTAATTAAATGTCTGTATTATATTTTGGTAATTTTTATTTCATTTCAATGTTCAACAAGGGAGCAACATGACTCCACACGCTAATCGATTTCCTTGTTGACTCTTTTAGGCCGCCTAAGATATTTAGGTAGGCCTATTAGACGTACGATGAATGTTTTTTATCTTATCTTATAATAAAGTCAGTGATTGGGTACGCCACTTCTTTGGAATCTTCTAGAATCTCCTATAACATAATATTGATTTAATTATTAACAAGCTCCTTGTAAAAATTGCAGCAATTGCAAGGCTATATACCAAAATAAATGAAAATAAATCTGTTATTTTTTACATTTTTTCTACGACTACGGCAACAATACTATTCCAAAAAGTAAAAATAACCCCGAATAGTTTCTATTTATGCTGGATAAAGCAACAAAATCGACGACTATCGCCATCTATTGACGTAAAATAAAATCAATTGAAACTAGGCAAAGCAACTGAAACATTTTCTAACGCCCTCTTTGGGAAAATATTGAAACAAGTTTAAAGCTCAAGCAAAATATTAATTAATAATTTTTCTCTTTTGTAATCATTTTAAATAATTTAAGTAGCTACTTATTTAAAAACAGAAACACCAACTCTCCGGGAAGTGTGCAATTTGTGATTATATCCTAGGCGGCCCGCGCTATTACATCATATTTTATAGACCACAAATCCTCGCAAAAGAATATCGATTCCGACCAAGGATGATATGTGAGGTTATTGAAATTAAAAAACATCATAGTTTCAATAGAGAAGGAGGCTGGGTACTACCACCTGCTTGTGATCCCGTAATTAATGAAGTTAAAAGAATACCCAAGTTAGTTAAATACTATTGCAAAACTTCAGGACACACTAAGCTCATTATGCGTATATTGGATCTAAAGTAATAATTGCAAAGCTGAAGGTACTAACTTAATGTAACGTCAAAAATTAGAACTAAGTAAAATTAATGCGATAATGTCCGCAATAATATTTTTATTCAAGAATAATAAAACTTCTTCTAATTAAAAAAGTTAACCCACTCCAAGCTTAAAAAGCTACATTTGCTTAACACAAGCATTTTAAGCTTGGGGTTTGACAATTGACATTGCAATATTAACATAAACAATGAATGGTTTATTTAATTTAATGTATTTGCAACACTTATGATATATACATTTTAGCTTTTTGCACTCTTACATATAAACTTTAACAAGGTATGTCAACTCTCACTCTCCTCAGGCGCGTGCTAGATTAAGAATAATTTTAGAATAAAATTTTAGTTACGATTAATAATTATTTAATCTATTTGTGAATTAATTTTGATGTTTTAAGAATTGTTAATTTATTACTACTTCCGGTTTCTAATGTATGTTATGTATATTGTAATAAATGTATTAAAATAGCCTAAAAATGTTTGTTTGCATTTTAAAAATGTATTTCAGATTTTTGAACGTGTTTAAGTATGGATTTTAGTTCCTTTATCTTATTACTTGTATGTGTTAAGCCGTTTTGGGCCACGTGTTTTCTGAAATATATTTATACTGCAAATTAATTGTTGAAAACTGTGAAAATGGTTTTTAAAATGATTTTTACAATTTTATTTAATTATTAATAATTTTTATAATTTGATTGTAAATATTTAGGTGTGTTAAGAATTGTTCAATTGTAAAAAAATAAAAGCGATATTGGCGGTAATCTTATAAATACTCCGAATTCAAAGAAATTCGTTTCAGTCCTTGGTTATTCTTCGTAATAGCAAGTTAGGTATATTTCTACTTTGTCTTATTTTCTTGTACTTTTGCTTATTTTTGCTTATTGTGTATTTTATTAAAGTATTGTTAAAATACGTCTGAAGATATTTTTCTGAAAATATATTATTTTAAATTGGCTAAATTCTTTTCATAATTAGTCCCTTGTTAGGAGGAAGATTTTAACGGTTTTTTAGCTAAATAGGAGAATTTAAGTTTGTTACCGAACCGATCGTCTTTTACTAGCTGATTTCTTTGTTTAATTTTCCATGAAAACAGCATCAGAAGTGGGATCGCCCGTGCTTTTTGTTAATCATTTTATTTTAAATATTTCAGGGAGAACTATTTCAATATGGATGTGGAGTTGGTGAAAGCGCTGTTGGAAACCATCCAATATGCAATACTTTCAAATAAGCGGCATGACGACGTAGCGGTGCCAATTTTCAACCAGGACAAAAGCAACGACGGATCAGCTGCCTGGTGCGAAAGCTTCGATAAGTTGGGAGACGAGTTAAATTTGGAGCAGCTTTGAGAAGGTTGCAAAAGCCGGTAAGGCCCTTCGGGGCTCTGCATTATCCTGGTTTGAAACGTGGGAGCCTGAGACAGGTAGATCATGGAAAAATTCAAAAAAGATATTATTTCTGTTTACCCGCAAAATGATCTTGGTGAGAAACTGTTAAACGCTGTGTTATACACGTCTGATTCCGCAGATTCTTTCGATGGTTATGCTAGGGAAAAATTGAGACTATTAAAATCTACTAAAAAATGTTTTACTGAGCCAACTAATAGAGCTTGTTTGCGGTACAATTAGCGACGTAAATGTAAAAATGACTAGTTTAAATACTTCTGTGAAGTCGATGGCCAACCTCATTTCATTACTTTCAACTTACACAAAATTACCAAAAAAGGCCGTTTGAACAATGGTCGCGTAACAGTTCACCAGTTCCTAGTAAGTGTAAGGGTTTTAAATACAATTTAACTCCATATAATAATAAAAATCAAAATTACTAACTCTCAATCAAAGTACGTTGTTCAAAATTCTGTAAGATGAAATTTTTGTAAAAAAACCGGCCATCATGAAAGTAAATGTTATTTAAAACATTCTTGTTCGTATTGCGAAAAAACATGGTCAAAGCGAATTTAAATGTTTAAAAAAACTACACAAATCATAACGCGTCAGCTAACAATAAAAAAATATTTTGTGTCTAAGCTTAAATTTAACGCCGACTTGTATAAATAACTTTGAAATAAATTCACTTATTGATACCGGGGCGAGCTGTAGCATAATTAGGGAAAGCATTGTTAGACGGTTAGGTTGCCGCCTCACTCCTTGCTCTGTATATTTAGATGGTGTACGAACTACACGCCTTTTTGACTGTGACTTTGCCCATAAAAAAAAGTCTTGATTTTTTTTTGTTGTCTGAGATGATAGTCTTAATTATGACTGTTTTATATGAAAAAAAATCCGTTCAACATCCCGATGTCGCTATTATTAGACTACCATGGTAATAGGTTAATACGTAACCCTTTTCCATCCTTAAATGTAAATACTGTCACTAGGTCACCAGACGACATTCTGTTTTTACTCAGTCACTTAGATTCAGACTTAAAAGGTCGAATAATAAAACATTTTGAAAAATACCCGAGCGTCATTTCATCGGAAACAAATATATAGTCCAAGATCCCAGGGCCGTCAGACGTCACGTATTTTCTGACTGATGAAATGTGGACGATTGAGTAGTGTTAGTATGTACTACGACCATATGTCTACCTGCTAGTTTGGTCAAGCGGCCAATTTCCAGGTATCAGGTGATCAAGGTAAGTACATAAAAACATTACTTACTTCACGTAAATTCTCATGGCTGATTTTCATATATGTTTTAGAATGTATAGTTAAAAATAAGTTGTCAATACTCCCAGACACTTTCCGACGGCCATATTGCTTTGCAGACGGTTTAAAGCTCTCAAAATAATTAGTTAACTTCACGTAAATTCTGATGCTCCATTTTATATATGTTCACCCGACAACTATTTTAAAACCTTTGACAAGAAGGTCCGTCTTCTTGTCAATGTCTTGATAATTTTTATTTTTGGATAAGAACATGGTAATGACTAAGTAATATTTACCTTCATTTAAAAAAAATTGTCTTTGGCCAAACCTACTATACTTTTTGGCTTGACTATAGGTTAAATTACATTAAAGTTAGCTGTCACCTGACCAATTTTTTATGTTATTTAAAAATTATATTAATTCAAAAAACTATTTAAAAATGAAAGCAAATTAGCCGACATCTAAAAAATTTTATAAGTTTTTAATTGATTTTTTTAAAACATAAAAAAATTAATTTGTAAAAAAAATTGAAAAACTATGTGGTATTTAAAAAATATATTTTTTTTGTATTTATCAATAAATGAAAAAAAAAATGGCTAACTAGTATTATTATGTCAAGTTTTTTTTTCTTATTTCTGTTGCCATAATTTATTTGTTAACATTTCTAAAAATTATAAAATATCTGCTCAAGGAACTTTCACGGCCATAACAGCGCAGTCTGTCTCACTCAGTCTCATGCGCGTAGATAATGCTCTCGCGCTCTCACAGATATTAAAATTTAGTTTAGGGGATGATTGGCCCCTTGGATCGGTCTGTCTTCTTGTAAAAGGTTTTAAAATAGTTGTCGGGTGAACATATATAAAAATGGAGCATCAGAATTTACGTGAAGTTAACTAATTATTTTGAGAGCTTTAAAGCGTCTGCAAAGCAATATGGCCGACGGGAAGTGTCTGGGAGTATTGACAACTTACTTTTAACTATACATTCTGAAACATATATGAAAAACAGCCATGAGAATTTACGTGAAGTAAGTAATGTTTTTATGTACCTTGATCGCCTTATACCTGGAAATTGGCCGTTTGACCAAGTTAGCAGGTAGGCATACGGTCGTAGTACATACGAACACTACTCAATCGTCCACATTTCACCCGTCGGAAAATACGTGACGTCTGGCGGCCCTGAGATCTTGCTCTAATAGGCCATGTAACGACTGGAGCTTTTAACTATTCTCCTGGAAAAAAAGGGAAAATACATAAGCCATGTAGAATATTTAAGCCGAAACCCTGAAATTTCAAAGCTCACTAAAAGTTCGGTACCAGTAACGGAAATAGTAGACTTAATAAACAACGACCCCTCCTGGCTTCAGATTGCCCAGTCTAGGTGTCCCGAAACGCAGAGGTTGATTGTACAAGTCCAAACTGGGGACCTTGATAAAAATAGATTATTATTACTGTTTGTCTCAAAAGGTTAGATTGGCTCTTATACTCACGATGAAATCTATGTATTTCTTGATAAAACATAAAATAAAATTTTAGAAAAAAAATTAATTTCCAGGAATTGCCCGATTTGTAAGAAAACATCTTACATTGTTTAGTCTGTACTCAGTTTAAATCGTAAAATTACCTATTCCATTTCGTTCATGTAGCCATCACAGGACTATTTCGAGGTTTACATGAAGGATTTAATATATTTTAATTATTGTTGATGGATTTACTAAGTTTTGTATCTTAAAACCTTTTAAATCCACGTATGGGGTAGAATTAGTCGAGGTAGTGAGAGATAGTAGTGAGAGATAGCGCGCCGATCTTTAGCACATAAAGTTTAGTTATAACTGATCGTGGCACCAATTTCAATTCAAGGCAAATGCAATCTTTTATTTACTGAATGTCTGGTGAATCATCATATGATAGCTATCGGTACCCTACGGGGAAATGGACATGCCGAAAGGTACGTTACAACGGTCACAACATTTTTGAGTATAGAATGTAAAGACTGATTTGATTGACCGTGCAAATTATGGAGAAAGTCCAAAAAACTCACAACTGTACAGCGGTCTATTGGGTTTCGCGATTGTAACATTCTGTCAATACAAGCTCGATTAGATTCTTTAGAAAATAATTCTGTAGAACTATTGGACGTAAGAGCAGAAAGAGAGATAGCTCAACAGCGTCTTCAAGATGTTGCACAAAAGCTTATAGATTTGATAGGACAAGGCTTGACAATGTAATGTTTAACGTAGGTGACGTTGTTTACGTAAGCCAAAGGGTTTAAGGGTCCCTATGAAATTGTAAGTATATTAGACAATGATAGATTTTTGTTTAGGGGAAGAGGTATTTTAAGAGAAATTACTGTCGCTAAAGAATAGCTAATTTCTTTGTTTAATTTTCCATGAAAATAGCACGCGAAATATGCTTTAAAACTGGTGCGGAGTTTTCTCTTCAAATATTATATAGATTCTGGTTTTGGCAAAACTAAGCTGCAGGAGTTGCAGTCCACAAGAGATGCCCTCGACTAAGTTTATCGAGCAATTACACTTTGCCAAATATAAGGAATACCTTTTGACAGTTCACATTTATCGGACTAGGCATTCCAACTGAAAATTCGGTACCTACGAATCGATTCTTAAGAGATATCGACATCGATTCTTTAGAGTTTGTATTCATTTAAAGTTTTATCCAGATTAATACCAGAATAAATTACGTCATATATAACATATAAGTCAAAACACACAAGTTTTATTAGTTTTTTTCATATTTATTGCTTACTAATAATTTCGAGAGATTAAAGTTAAAGAAAGATTAAAGACTGCATTAGATTAAAATAAATTTAATAAATCTCTTTAACTACTTAACATTAAATTATTATTTGATTTTATTTAATGCATTCAAAATTAATGTCTCTCTCATAGTCGTCCATAACAATTTTCTTTGATTTATCAATCTCAACAAATCCTCCTCCGGCGGATCCTACAAGGCAATTTATGCGCCTACCTTTTTTCACGGGCACTTGTTATTTGTCTGTTGATGTTTACATCAGTGTGACTGGCTGAAGATTCGGAATAATTATTTTTCATGTCATTTTTTTTTGTACAGGAAGCCGAAATCTTCTAAACTTTCTCTCAATTTCCCCACAGTGGGATTCACAGGAAATATATGAATATTTAATGATTTCTTATATTTACGCGAACACTACACATTGAAATAATACTAGTTTTTACGGAACGTCTGTACAAACTAGTATTATTTCAATATATGAATATTTGACTTGTTAATTCATTCTTTTTTATTTTATTCTTTTGTTCTTTTCTCACTCAAAGGCTAAGTATAGCTGGTAAGAGGCCAGTTAGCAATTCAATTTATAAATCCAATAAAATACTCAGTGCATGACCAAATACCTCCCGTCTATCTACGACCTAATACTGTGCACGCGTTGCTATCAAGGCATGAGCTTAACTCTGACCATAGACCAGTCCTTTTGCATCTGGGCCAGCCCACAGGTGAGGTCAGACGAGAACCATCTTGGCTTGGCGTAAGCTCGAGGTCAAACACGAGTCTACGACCTCCCAGCACTTAGACACAATTCCCGACAAAATATACTCGCCAGAGAAGGCCAATAAGGCGATCAACGACCTAACGGCCCACCTCACCTCAGCGGTCGAAGAATGCTCTCAAAAAGTTCGCCTGTCGAGCAACCAACATCTGAAGCTTCCAAGTGACATTCGACAACCGATCAGAGCGAAGAACGCGGCCCTTACACAATATGATCA